AAACCCATCTAAACATTTGTAATAAAGATGGTCTTATTTGTGAATAAAGTTTTTCTTCTTACCTAGTAATATGTAATGTAATTAAATTTTCTATTACATTGTGGGTTTCTATAATAAAGCCAATTTCAAAAAAGTATTCTTTACACTGAGATGGTAATTGGTTAGGAGTGATGGGAGTTAAAGGATCACTATAGGGTCAGGAACACAAACAGGGTCCTGACCCTATACTAAAAACCCACGATTTAGGTGGCTTGCCCCCTCCCCCCATCCCCTTAGCCCTCTCAGAATAGGTTAAAAAAAAAAGATGCCCAGCACTCCTTATTGTGAAAATATGATGTCCATTTATTCGCAAAACAGGAACATTTCAACTGTATGTCTGAATCAAACGATGTGAACTCCTCCCCAACCCACACTTAGTTTATACCATTTTAATTAATCATAGCCATGTGCATGGGAAAAATTTGCCGTTCGGTTCGGCATTCCGAAATTCAGGACTTTTGCAATTCGGGACTTCAGCAATTCGGTACTTCGACACTTTGGTTACTTAATCCACCAATCAGAGTGTTATGAGTCAAATTACACAGCGTGGGAAAAATCCAAAGAACTTTCCCACGCTGTGTAAAATGACACAGTGCACTTTGGTGGATTTCAAGCCAACCAATCAGAGTGCTGTGACAGGTAAATGTAGAGACTTACCTGTCAGTCTCTTAATTTACCTGTCAGAGCACTCTGATTGGATGGCTTAAACCCACCAATCAGATTGCTCTGAGCCTAATTGCAGAGCGGAGCAAGGCTTTATAAGCCTTCCCCCGCCCTGCAGAGCTCAGTCTGCATGGAGCCCTCCATGGGTGAAGATGGATAAAAATTTTTTTTTTTTTTTAAGTGCATCGGTTATTAAGGATTTTGATTTGGCTTTTTTTGGAGCTGAAAAAATAAGATTTTAGAAGAAAGAAAACATCAAATGGTAAATTTTATTTTAGCTTTTTTTAACAGGTACTTAGTTAATGCCCCCCCCCTCATTATTTTTAGGGTGAGGGGGTAGGTAGGTAGTTTTTATTTATGGCCCCCACCCACCACTCAGGGGTGGGGGCCAGGGGAAGGACATTAGGGTCCTCCCCCCCGAATTTTTATTTATGGCCCCCACCCACCGCTCAGGGGTGGGGGCCAGGGGGGAGGACATTAGGTCCCCCCTTATTAGTATTTAGGGCCCCCACCCACCGTTCAGGGGTGGGGCCAAGAAGGAGGACATTAGGTGTGTCCCCCCTTATTTTACTGTAGGGCCCACACCCGCCGTTCAGGGGGGCCGGGGGGTGGTACTACAACCTTTTTTTTAAAACAGTGAGCAGCCACAGCGATATAGCGGTATAGAGAGTAGGGGCATAATTTACTAATACTAAGTAATCTTCACTTAGTATTAGTAAATTTGGCTGAAAGACCAATTTAGGTCTTTCAGCCTTTTAGTAGATAGCTCCCTAATACAGTGGGAATTACGGAGTTATCTACTTATTCATTCCTGTCATTACATTGACAGGCTAAGTAATTTACATTTTATATGAATGTATGTTACTTGATTGTTGTAAATGTTGCAAATGCTTACAGCTGAATCCTGGCTATGTTTGTATACTATTTATTTAAAATTGTATACAGTGTAACATTCTTCATTTTTCCACTGGGTAAGTGTATTAGTTTTTAGGCAATACTGTGCTTCGGAACTTCAGCACTGCGACACTTCAGAACTTCGGCACTTCGGAAATTCGGTGATTTTAGAACTTCGGCAATTAATCTATTTGGACATTAGGAAGTACCCGAATGTCCGAATTGCCCGAAATTCTTCCGGATTCACATTCAGACCGAAACGAATTGCACATGTCTAATTAATCACATGATAAAGTAAGGGGCATATGAAGCCTATACAAAGTGACAGTTTCCATAGTGATAGTAAACAATGTGCAGTGTGCTACACAACAACATCACTGACTACAATTCATCCAAGAAAATGTGATATGTAAAGTGTGTAATATATCTGCATACAAATTATAAATCGATATCGTAAAGTGAAAGTGCATATTCCAAATACATATTAAAATATACTTAAATAGAAGATGCTTTAACTCTTTAACATATGCAGAATTTAGCTGTTTCAAAACGTAATACTTATCCTATACAGATAATATTTATTTTAATAAGACATTTTTAAAACACCAGTAACGGAGAGGTAAATCATTTGGGAAATGCATTTCTATCTTCATCATATCATCATTTTAATGTTCAAATGGACATAAGGATAATTTAAATAAAGTTATGGAGGAAGAAGAAAAAAAAGGACACTGCTCAAAAAAATAAAGGGAACACAAAAATAACACATGCTAGATCTGAATGAATTAAATATTCTTCTGAAATACTTTGTTCTTTACAAAGTTGAATGTGCTGACAACAAAATCACACAAAAATAAAAAAATGGAAATCTAAATTTTCAACCCATGGAGGTAAAATGGAAAAGCACACTACAGGCTGATCCAACGTTGATGTGTGGCCTCCACGTGCCTGTATGACCTCCCTACAATGCCTGTGCATGCTCCTGATGAGGTGGTGGATGGTCTCCTGAGGGATCTTCTCCCAGACCTGGACTAAAGCATCTGCCAACTCCTGGACACTCTGTGGTGCAACGTGACATTGGTGGATGGAGCGAGACATGATGTCCCAGATGTGCTCAATTGGATTCAGGTTTGGGGAACAGGCGGGCCAGTCCATAGCATTAATGCCTTCATCTTGCAGGAACTGCTGACACACTCCAGCCACATGAGGTCTAGCATTGTCTTGCATTAGGAGGAACCCAGTGCCAATCGCACCAGCATATGGTCTCACAAGGGGTCTGAGGATCTCATCTCGGTACCGAATGGCAGTCAGGCTACCTCTGGCGAGCACATGGAGGGCAGTGCGGCCCCCCGAAGAAATGCCACCCCACACCATTACTGACCCACTGCCAAACCGGTCATGCTGGAGGATGTTGCCGGCAGCAGAACGTTCTCCACGGCGTCTCCAGACTCTGTCACGTCTGTCACATGTGCTCAGTGTGAACCTGCTTTCATCTGTAAAGAGCACAGGGCACCAGTGGTGAATTTGCCAATCTTGGTGTTCTCTGGCAAATGCCAAACGTCCTGCACGGTGTTGGGCTGTAAGCACAACCCCCACCTGTAGAAGTTGGGCCCTCATACCACCCTCATGGAGGTCATTTTGCAGGGCTCTGGCAGTGCTCCTCCTGTTCCTCCTTGCACAAAGGCGGAGGTAGCGGTCCTGCTGCTGGGTTGTTGCCCTCCTACGGCCTCCTCCATGTCTCGTGATGTACTGGCCTGTCTCCTGGTAGCGCCTCCATGCTCTGGACACTACGCTGACAGACACAGCAAACCTTGCCACAGCTCACATTGATGTGCCATCCTGGATAAGCTGCACTACCTGAGCCACTTGTGTGGGTTGTAGACTCCGTCTCATGCTACCACTAGAGTGAAAGCACCGCCAGCATTCAAAAGTGACCAAAACATCAGCCAGGAAGCATAGGAACTGAGAAGTGGTCTGTGGTCACCACCTGCAGAACCACTCCTTTATTGGGGGTGTCTTGCTAATTGCCTATAATTTCCACCTGTTGTCTATCCCATTTGCACAACAGCATGTGAAAATGATTGTCACTCAGTGTTGCTTCCTAAGTGGACAGTTTGATTTCACAGAACTGTGATTGACTTGGAGTTACATTGTGTTGTTTAAGTGTTCCCTTTTTTTTTTTTAAGCAGTGTATTTTACATACTGTAAAAAATTCATAAAACTTTACAGAACCCACCTGGGAGACCCATTGTCTCTGGGTGGATTCTGCACTCAGTTCTCTATCTATATATCTGGATAAAATTTTACACCGTGGTCTAACATCCTTAAGATAATACTTAAGAGATACATCTAATTTACTTCTTAAAGAATCACTATAGGGTCAGGAACACAAACGTGTATTGTTAAAACCCCCATCTAGCCCCCCTTGGCCCCTCATGCCTCCATAAATATAGTGTATGCTGTTAGACTCAGTGCATGCTGTTAGACTCAGAAAAACAAGCTGTATGCTGACATCATCAGGAGTGGTAGCCTGATCCAATCACAATGCTTCCCCATAGGATTGGCTCAGACTGACAAGGAGGCAGATCAGGGGCAGAGCCAGCATGATTCAAACACAGCCTTGGCTAATAAGCATCTCCTCATAGAGATAAATTGAATCAATGAATCTCTATAAGGAAAGTTCCGTGTCTGCATGCAGAGGGAGGAGACACTGAATGTGTGGATGCATTTTAGGCAGCCATGACCCAGGAAGGATCTCTAACAGCCACCTGAGGAGTGGCCAGCGAAGTTATCACTAGGCTGTAATGTAAACACTGCATTTTCTCTGAAAATACAGTGTTTACATCAAAAAGCCTGAAGGTAATGATTTTACTCACCAGAACAAATTCAATAAGCTGTAGTTGTTCTGGTGACTATAGTGTCCCTTTAAGTTAAAAACATTGAAGTGACAGAAATGGTGCTGAAACAACTCCCATGATTCTTTTGCCATCTATTGTTTTCAATGAATTCTGGAATTTGTAAGACACCAACATTGGGGGGCTCAGAGCTTAAGATATTGGGGTTAGGGTAACATATAAGGCTGATTTTCAAGTCTTTAGCTCATCTTTACAATGCATTTTTCTCAATTGGAAGCCTTTAAAAATTTGAGAGCGTCACTGGCGCCAAGTCTAAGGCTTTCACATTGAAGCCAAGGCCAGAGGAGGAGAGACCAGGACATGTAAAATGACCATCATCTGGAGCAGTATGGGGTTAAACGTTTGGTAAAAGCTTAACCCCTTAAGGTAAGACAGTGAGAGGCAGTTATTATTGTGCCCATTATGTTCTATGCAAAACTGCTAATATATGTACAAATATGAACTACCCCACTAATTCTTATTGCCATCTCTTTTTATGATTAAAAATAGCAATAAAAGCAGCAGTTCTTATTCAGCGATGGTATCGTTTCTATACGGCCCGACTAGAAATGAGAAGACGTTACACACTCAGTATATTTCAGTCCATAGAATATGCTGAAGAACAAGCTCAGCTTCAGGTTAGGAATGATTTCATATTTTTTAATTTCATTTTTATATGATTGGAAAATAAACCAATATCTTACTATACCTAAGCAACAATCTTTGTAAAGTAACTGTGTTAGAATTAGAATTGTCCATTTGTCTTTGGCCGAATCAAAATTCCGCAGATCGGACAAATTCCAAATAACCAAGCAAAGAGGGGAGGGAGCGTGGGGGTGGGGGCCCCACCCGAGGTATCAATCCGGATAATTAAAGGTTGATTGCAGCTCCGGAATAAGAAAGTCACTGAGTGACTAAAATAAATTGCTCACGCCGAAACTCGTTGCTTGAAATAACTTAGGTGATGCAGAGTAAATGTAGCGCCGTGGTCGGTAACTTCTCAAAAGACCACGGCTTCTTGGGGGGCGGAGCAAGCTCTCAATCGCAACGGTCGTAGACTCCCTGAGCTCCGATAGCCGGCACAAAAAGTGCCTAAAATAAGCTGAAACGCGGGGTGCAGTCCCCCCAACACATACTGGAAGGTGCCACCAGAGGATGGGGAGAAAAACTAAAAAATCCGACCAGATCAACCCAGGTTCTGCGCCATATCGGGGACCTCCTGAGGGGGCCGCATGGCGCAAGGAGATCTGACATGGCGGTGGACCTGGAAGATTTTTCTGACGCATCGGAGGACTACTCTCCCCACAACATGGAGGAGCTGAGAATGAAACCACCAAAGCCTGCCCAGCCAGCAGACAAGGGGTCACAGCCGCTTACCACAGACATACTCACCAGCCTCCTGGCGGACCTCCATCAAAACCTCTCATTGGAAATTTCACAGGTCAGAGAAGACCCTAAGGGGTTCAACGGGCGCCTGAACGCAGTCGAACACACTACCACAAAGCAGGCAGTACACATTCTGGAGTTACAGAAACAGATAGGCACCCTTACTACAGCTCACAACACGCTGAGCCACCAGCTTGCAGCCATGGAGGATAAAAGAAGGTGGAAACACCTGAAAGTCAGGGGTCTCACAGATAGCATCACCCAGGCTGAGCTTTTTGCGTAGACTCTTCACAGCCCTTCTGTCTCCCAAACAAGCAAGAGGCATCACGCTGGACGGGATGTTCCGTCTCCCCAAGACTCCATCAGCCGCGGCCTCCAACACCAGTGACCTACTGATCAAATTCCAAAATGGCCCAAAAAAAGGCAGCCATCATGAACGCAGTAAGAGGAAAACACCCGTTCCAATTTGAGGAGATGGACATTTACCTTTTACTCCGATCTCTCCCGCCCGACCTTACAGTGGCAGAAAACACTGCATCCTCTCACAACCGTATTGTCAAAGGGTATCAAATATCGCTGGGGCCCGACACGCTTCCTACTCATCCAACACCAGAACACGGAGCACAAGGTGACAGAGCGGCGCGGTGCGGCGCATTTTGACGCGACTTTCTATTAGGTGTGGATCACGGAGGCTTCCGTGAGAGGGGAGCTCCGGTGTAATTGGCTGATCGCAGTGAGTTGGATGCGCCCGTCTTTGTCTTTTCTTTTTATGTGGGTTATTGTATATACATTATTCTTGTGCCTAGTATGCCTATTGGGTTATATTAAGTGTACTAGAATGTGTATGTTTATAATGCCATTAGATGGCATGACGATCGTTTATATATCTTTATTGCGCATGCGCGTCACACTCATACTAATGAGAATACTTATGGATTGTGCAATAAGAGGATATTTCTATACTAATGACAGTATTTGTTTAAGAATAACTTTGGGAATGTATAATAATAATGTATTGGTTGCTGTTATATTTGTTTAACATAGGGCTATGATCTGAAGTGATGATGTCACTTCCGGTCTTGGCTCTCTGGGATATCACTGATGGCCATCAGCTGTAAGTAATTAGTAATTTGTATATGTGTATTTAATGGGTTCCTGGATGATGCTATGATATAGTTACCCTTGATAAAGGCTACCAGGAGGAGCCGAAACGTTGGGGGACTGTTTGTGACTCGTGTTTCTGCCCATATAGGCTTGTGAAATTTGGTAAATATATGGTTTAGCCTTTTTTTGCCTATTTGGTCACTGTTATATTGTTGCATTTTTTGCATGCATGATTTGGATTTGTATTGCAATAAAATAGATAGATTCTATTGTATCAGTTGAGCTGCATTAACATAGCATCTAGGCCGCAATAGAAACACACCATTTAACCCCTCATTTTTTACTTACATACGCCTTAGACATCAACACCTATTGCAGCACACACTTGCAGCTTGTATACGGCAGTAATGAGCTACTTTACCATTAACAATAAAATCCACAGGCAACATTGAAAACCTAACAAAAGTATGCATACTGTTGATCGAAATGTTATGCTCTGATGAACATGTTACACGCAATGTATAATACACAGTTGTCTGTGAAAAATAAAGAATTAAAAAATATAGCGGGGAAAAAACCACACAGCACATCTGCATGTTTCGTCCCTGCCGCAGGACTTGTTGATACCTGCCGTGGAGAGGAGCTGAAGAAGAAAAGGCAGAGGGGATAATACCTGCCTGGAAGAAAAGAGCTGCACCTCGGTCAGGAAGAAGAGTTCCTGAGAGACCCCAGTCAAACTTTGACTACGTCTGAAGTGCTCCAGGGTCCCCTGTGGCAGTGAGTAAGGGGACTTGGTGGAAGCACTCAGTTGGAATATGGGAGCGCTGTCACATCTGGTGGCAAGAGCGAGATCTGTTTCCTCCCTTACACAGCAGTTCCAAACCACCACCTGGACCAGTGACCAGAGCGGAACTCATGGAAGGAGCTCAAACCAGCACTCATGCGGTGGCCTCATCAACTGAGAAATTCCAGAGTCAAGTGCAAGAAATTCTTCTTTTTTGGCCCACACACTTTGGCTGAAGATCGATATCGGCTTCAGTTGATGAGCGGCTCAGGAGAGAAAACAGACAGAGGTACCAACGGTTAGCTGGTCTGTGAGCCTGTGAAGTCGGAAACGGGCGTCCGAATTCCAGAGGCAGATACAAGCCCTGAGGATGTGCCCATCTCAGAGAAAGCATTCCTGCAATGCGGAGGAGATATTCGGCAGGCCCCTTGGGGTGAAGCCCTCAATGTCTGGTGCCAGCACCCGGGCATGTACCTCCCCAATCCAGGGTAACATACAGGACCAGGTCGCATCTCGGATGTATCTCCTGTTAAAACAGACCTGGACCAAATGGTTAATTGACCTGGAGTGGTTCATATGGAAGTTGACCTGGATGGCCAATATTGAGTGCTACAGTGGTGTGCAGCACAGGAGCAATGCGGTCCAGAGGGGGATGGTTTTTCTGAGGGGGAGGATTTTGATGTAACCAGAAAAGGGGACAGATAAATGAGAATGTCAAAAGTGCAGATAGTGCAGGCAAGCCGCTGAAAAATTGCAAAACACTCCCTGAATCTCTCTGATAAAAGCCAAGTGTAAAACTGCATAACACACAAGTGCAAATACACAGGTGAAAATACAGTGCAGCTTGCGTCACTGTTAGATATACCATTTGTATTGTTATATAATATATATAGTGGTTATAATTACCAACAATGTTGAGTTGAGGATCAGACTCACATATAAAAGATAAACAAAAAAATCATAGTGCAAAACTTTAATAAATATAAAAAATTTAGAGGCACAATTGAAATGAATCAATATGTGCACAAGCGCTTGTTGCCTCAAAATAGGCTTAATCCCCAGGATTTTCAAATATTTTCACCTGTGTATATGCACTTGTGTGTTATGCAGTTTTACACTTGGCTTTTATCAGAGAGATTCAGGGAGTGTTTTGCAATTTTTCAGCGGCTTGCCTGCACTATCTGCACTTTTGACATTCTCATTTATCTGTCCCCTGGTTACATCAAAATGAGGTCTCATTGCAGTTTCCTTCTCAGGTAGTCAGGAAACAGAGAGTCCAGGTCTCAGATACTGCTGGGCAGGAGTTCTTCTTGGGTAATGCTCAACGTGGATAAAATTCTGTGGATTTCTATATTCAATTTAAATTTTCTCACCTCACAAAATACATATCTGGAGGAGCCCTCCACTCACGCGTAGCTGAGGCAGGTTTATTCTCCTATTCCTATATCTCCTATTCCTATAGGAGAATAAACCTGCCTTAGCTAGGCTTGAGTAGAGGGCTTCTGAAACTTTTAGTGGTACAGGACTCTCGAATATCAGTCACTGAAGTTACAGTTGCCATCATTACAGCAGAAGAGCTGGCATCAGGGTGGAGCACTGCTGGTCTCTGCTCACAAGCATATGAGGATGTTGGTAAAAGAGGTGTGGATGGGACTGTGGTTTCCACACCTGAATCACAGAGATGCTAGGCAGTTGGCCCAGATCCCAAACCCCTTGGCATAGGGAACTCAGCCACCCTGACATCTTTCCACTAGCAGAGTGAGTGTCCGGGATATGGTGCAGCCGGCCTATCTCTATAGCGGCAGAAAGACCTTCTGGGAGGGGAGGTCAACATCCTCACTCCCCAGTGGCCAAGTATGTACCGGGGAGAAGAGGTGAGCGGAATTCCTCACCAGCAGCAGAATAAAGAGCTCCATACAACCCTACCTGAAGCTCTGGCATTGAGACAGAGTGCCACTGGCCTCTGCCCCCAATGTGTTGTTGCTCCTGCAGGTGTGACAGTATAGTAGAGCTCTACAATAGTGGATGAGCCCAAGCAGTTTACCGCACCCCCAGCAGAAGAGCAGAAGCGGCATTGGGAGTGCCACTTGCCTCTACCCACAACTACTAAAAGAGAAGGATATTTGTCTTGTACTTGTGTAGGGAATTACAGTCTCCACCAGTGTAATACCAGGATGTTGGGCAGTTGGCTCAGTTACCCAACCTATTGTCTTTGAGACACCAGCCACTCTGTATTCTCTCCAGCGGTTGATAGGACTTAAGGGAGAGCATGTTGTTGACACCCATGTTGTATTCACCTGAAAAATATTGTCCATATTTTTTATGATTCCCTTTGTTTGTTGCACTGTTCCCCATGTGTTTCATCTGTTGGTCCGGCTGGATAGACTACCAGACAAACTGTGGAGTTACTGGGTGGCCACCAATTCATGTATCAGAGGCACATGGTGAGAACAATGGATGAAGCACATGGTGAGAACAATGGATGGCGGCCATTTTAACTCACAGACACTGTTTGGACTTTTCTACACAGTGCCATCTCGCCGGTATTTGGTGCACAAAGACATCGTGCAGTAGTTTTAAACTATACAACAGGGGACATATTATACAGTAATTATTTTTCATATAGCCTGTATATTTTCTGCGGAATCTGCATTAAACTGTATCTTGTGTATGTGTGTATGGATGCATGTATTAGGCAGTGTATGTTTATGGATGTACACATTAAGCAGTATGTGTGTAGAGATGCATGTATTAGGCAGCCTTAACTGGAAACCATATGACACATTTCAGGCTAAAATAGCTGATCTAGAAGAATTCTCTTATTCGGCTACAGTCACAGTTCAGCTGTTTTTGCTTTAATTTTGCAATTTGGTTTTCAACTCACTTGAATTCCGAATCTAGTGAATAAACCTCTGTGAGATTGTAGTTGCATTCGTGAGGGAGTGGCAAAATGGATCTTTGTCTTGGGAGGCAGAGATCCTTGCACAGGGCGAAATCACTAGAAATTATAAACTGCACTAAACAAAAAAATCTCTCCTACTCATCATATTCAGGCAGTTAAAATGAGTACTGCAATAAAATGTTACGATTAAATCAAATCAAAGAGCAAGATGGGAAAAAATAAATAAAGTAAAACTAACAGTGGTGTATCAATAAATAAAAATAAAATCACTAACAAAGATCCACATATCATCTATTAAAAGGTCCACCTTAGTGTATTCACCTGAAAAATATTGTCCAATAAAAGAGTCCTTGCAGAGTATCTGCACCTTCCAATTTGGAGAATCTTGCTAATCTCACTTTTTCTAGTTGTTCGTAGAGCACACATACCTTAATTCTTGAACAAGTAAGTTGGGTGCTTGTTCAACAGGTAGAACCCCAGCTGTTATTTAACTACGGCCCAAGTGATACCTTGTCAACTTTAGCTTGGCTTAGCATCATGCAGTAGTAATGCCTTAACATTTTGAGAATGACCTCTAGCTCACCCATTCTCTAGATGAAACTCAATCAATGGAGTTGATGTGCTAATAAACTCTGGTTTGTTACAAGAAACAAATGCACACATGTGTATATTATAGGGGTATGTGTTATATTTGGGCTTATGTGTATGAATTGGAAATAAAATTTAATTGTACTCTTTGTAAAGTGATTCTCTATCTTATTCCACCAGCTCTCAAACTTTTTTACATTTATGATCGACCACTTTGCAGAGGTGAATGGCCCTGGTCCAGGTAAGAGTATGCAGTATTTAACACGCTTTTCGGTTCACTAAGGCAGGTACAGCTTAGTCCTCAGTAACTAAAAATGGCATCTGAGCAGCATTATCACTACAGACCATTGTAGTGGTTAAGGTACTAGAAGGTTACTGTTTCACAGTTTTATGTCAAACTGTTTTGACTCATTCCTCCCAACTATCCTAATGTCCCTATTTTCCAGATGCTCCATATTGTTAAGGTGTCTTGAGTGTATAACAGAACTCCACAGTAATAAAACTCACTGTAGTGTGTCTTTAAATTACAAAAGATGCGTTTAGAAATAATTTTATGTAAATTATATATGTTGATGTTGTTCTGAATTACATTATAATTGCATACATTGTTATTGGTACGTCACATAAAATTTCTCAGAATAGCTCTGCCCCTGGCACACCCCCACTCATGCCCCTAAAATGAAATTTTACTATTTTTGTCTATTTGAAATGTAGGGAGGTATGCAAATTGAAGGTCCCCCAGACAAAGCTGCCAATCAGGAGTGGAGATGGGGTGGGCTTCAGTTGAGCACGGGAGCCAGATAATTGGGAAGGCTTGTCAAGCCACACACGCATGTATTAGGTTTGTGGGGCCTTTGCATGTTTACATAGTCTGAAAAGAGACATGTGTCCATCAAGTTCAGCCTTCCTCACATTTGTTTTTTTGCTGTTGATCCAAAAGAAGGTAAAAAAAAAACAGTTTGAAGCACTTCCAATTTTGCAACAAACTAGGAAAAAAATTCCCTCTTGACCCCAGAATGGCAATCAGATTAATCAAGAAGCATTTACCCTACATTGAACAATTATATCCTTGATTGCATGAGTCTGCAGTGCCAGAAGGACCAGATATCCCCCCTTACACAGACATACACACGATAGTCACGTGGTGACTATAGTTTTAAGCATTTTTTTGTACTTATGATGCCTCTAGCTCTTTGTCTGGACGGTATAGTTTTATATCTTACTGGATACAGCGTAAAGACTCTAAAATTATCACATAAAAAAAATCTGAAGTGAAGGTTTCATTGCCAATTACAGCATGCCATCCACTCACAGTCAGTGCCAAAGTTAGCAATCTGTAAAATTCTGCTATTTCTCATTACAGTAAAAGCAATGCTCAGACTGAAGATGACCCACCTTTCAGTGCATTATATATAATAGATAAAATAAAATCTGTGGTTTTCTTTGAAGCTCCTGCTTTTGCCACAAATCTCCAGGGTTTGCAGCTTCTTTAAATAACTCTTAAAGGAACACTATAGCTTTAGGAATAAACATATATTTCTTACTCTATAGTCTTTATATAATTATTTAGGGGTGTGTGTGAGGGTTTGAAAGGTGAGTCCCATTGAGCCCTTGCTGGGCCTGACTCCATCCTGCTGCCCCTGACAGCCACTGGAGGCGCTTCCTGCATTCAAACTGGTCTTTGGTCCGATATCTGATGCTGGACGTCCTCACGCTCTGCTATAGCACAACCAGTGTCAGACTTAGTGCTACAATGTAAACATTGCAGTTTCTCTGGAACTGCAATGTTTAACATTGCATCACTATGGACAATATGGACACTGTACAATTAGCTGAAGTGGTCTGGGTGCCTATAGGGTCTCTTTAAATTACCCCTTCTCCTACAAAAAAATAGTTGTGTGCTGAAAAATACTCTTTAAGTTAGCATTAAATAAAGACAAATTCTATTTTACAGACTTGATATCTGATATTGTCAACTGCTCAAGAGAAGAACAAAGGCAACTTGAGGATTATGAAATGCTTGAAGTTCCAAACTCTTATGATGGACCACAAATTTCATTTCCTTTGACTGTGTCTGATACAAACACTCTACTCCATGCCTTTAAGCAAGAAAAGGTAACTGTTCTCAAGGTTCATATGTAGATCTAAAGTTCAGTTTAAAAAAGGGCTGCTCCTAAAAGTAACAGGTACAATTACAACCCATGCACCTCTCTAGCTAGGATTGATTTACAAAGTGTTACACTGAGATTTCCTTTGTTTCAAGTATGTTACAAAGATGGAGCAAAGTAAGAGTACCACCCACATGCGACAGGGAATCATGTAGTATTCTGTGCTTTTCCATGTCTTTACACCGGGGGTGGACAAAGGTAGATCCTCACATGTTGTAAAACCACAAATCCCATTTTGCTTTGCATGTCTTTAGAATGACAAAGCATCATGGAAGCTGTAGTTTTAAAACATCTGAGGATCTACCTTGTGAGCTGTCACTGCTTTACATTATGTCATGTCTATGTCCTCTTATGTTTCCTCTAATGTGCGACAAACACTGATCAGCCGAAATATTAAAACCACTGACCTGTGAAGGGAATAACTTTTATTTTATCGTTACAATGGCAACTGTCTTGGGATGGGAAATATTAGGCAGTAAGTGAAGAGTAAGTTCTTTAATTTCATGTTTTGGAAGCAGAAAAAATGGGCAAGCGAAAAGATCTTGGTCAATTTCACATGTGCCAAATAGTGATGGCTAGATAACTGGGTTGAGAACATCTCCAAAACTGCAAGTCTTGTGGGGTGTTCCTGGTACTCAGTGGTTAGTACCTATCAAAAGTAGTGCAAGGAGACAACCAGTGAACCGGAATCAGGCCTATGGGCACCCAAGGCTTATTGATACACGTGGGGAGAGAAGGCTTGCCCAGGAGAGCTACTGTTGCTCAAATTGCTGAAAAACGTAATGCTGACCATGTGTCAGAACACACAGTGAATCGCACTTTGCCGCGTATAGGGCTGTGTATCTGCAGACCACTCAGAGTACCCCTAATGACCCACAGTGTATTAAATGGACTTGAGCATCAGAATTGGACCATGGAGCAATGGAAGAAGGTTGCCTAGTCTGATGAATCACATTTTCTTTTACTTCAGGTGAATGACTGGGTGCATGTGCGTCATTTACCTGGAAGAGATGGCAGCTAAGGGATGCACTAAGGGAAGAAGGCAGGCCAGTGGAGGCATTGTTATGCTCTGCTCAATGTTCTGCTGGGAAACATTTGGTCCTGGCATTCAGGTGGATAATACTGTGACACAGACCACCTACCTAGAAACTGTTCCAGACCATGCCCCTTCATGACAATGATGATCCCTGGTAGTTACCTCTTTCAGTAGGATAATACACCCTGCCACACTGCAAAAATTGTTCAGGAATGGTTTGAAGAACCATAGTCCCCATATCTCAATCTGATGGAGCATCTGTGGGATGTGCTGCAACAAAAAAAGGTTATCCATGGAGGCTCCACCTCACAACTTGCAGGGCTTAAAGGATCTGCTGCTAATGTCTTGGTGCCAGAAACCACAGGAGACTTTCTAAAGTCTTGTGGAGGTCATGCCTAGAAACATCAGACCTGTATGGCAGCACAATTGAAACCTACATGATATTATGTAGGTGGTTTTAATGTTATAACTTATCAGTGTATTGACACTCGTCTTATGCACTTAGCTAATATTCCTGTTACTAGAGCACAAAATGATTGGCAAGAGATTCATGACTACAATTAGTTTTTTTTTCTTTTTAGATAAAACATGTATATGAATTAGACCAGTGATCCTTCCAGTGACAAAATTTCTCCATCACCCAGATGGAGAGTACATGTCTTGTAGACTCATGACTCTCCAGTCTTTGGCTATCGGATACTGTGCAACTGAAAAGGGATTTCTCTGAACATACATCAGTCACTGAAGTGCTACAAAATGCCAATCATCTGGGCATGTTAGAGGCAGCTGTCTCACTGATATGAGCAGTGCAGACATAATCTTAGCCCAATACAAATTCAATCCTGCGGAAATATAATTTGTTCAAGTTTTACAGGCTCTGTGTGCTAATTACCGTATTTTCACTTTGTCTGTTTTAGTAAACGACCACCTCCTGTTTCCACTAGACTTTCTGGCACCCATCATGTCTTGCACTGCAGCAAAACCTTCAACACCTAATGTTCTGCTTACAGTCTAACATTTACAATTAAAACAAATCCATAGTTTGAGAGAGCAAAACTACAAGAGATACCCGTGTTGCAAAACCACACTCTTATCCCTTGCTTACAGCCAGACAATTCTGAGTATACCAGTAATAGACAGAAATATACTGCATTTCCACATGGGACTGTTTTTGCACATAGATAATCCACTATTATTGCTATGTACAGCAGGGTCAGATTAAGAGCCCAGTTGGCCTGGTGCTGACAATTATGATGGGCTTAATTACAGAATCGTATCGACCAAAAACACTAAAACAGTCATACCTCCTAAGCATCATGCATCAGATGGAGATGGTGCTGGAGGGAAGCTCATAGGATGCAGCTATAAGAAAACACATACCCTCTGCTAGTCTCTCTCTAATTTATGCTTTCATCTTTCAAGTAAATCCATACCCCCTAACAGCAGTGTCCAGTGAAGCAGAAAGTAAAGGGGTGTGCCACTGATGCGAATCACGTAACCAGAAATGGCAAAAGGGGTGAACATGCCCAAAAAGGTGGCATGTCTGCCCAAAAAATTGGAAGGTCAGCCGGGAATAAATGCATGTATGTAGTGAGTGTAGAAGAAAGGGTCACAGCCACAGTGTTAAAACCCGGGAGCGGAAGTAAATTGAATGACGGCCGAGGACGGGGGGGGAGAAAAATACCGCTAATTAAGAAGTATTTAAAAAGGAACCCAGGAACAAGATACAGCAGCAACTGAGGAAGCCTCTGAACGAGGTGAAACGCGTTTTACACTTTAGGGACTTTATACAAAGGACTTACCTTCAGAATTGTAAGGTTTTTTAATTATTTTATATATTTTTTACCACTTGTGCAATTTTTAATAAAGCACTTTATACCTATACTGAATATTGTGAGGACATCCCATTGCTTGAGACCTCCTATCAGTAAAAGAAGGGAGTGGGTACCTTCCACAAAGCTGGAAATCTGAGCCTAATTCAGTGGCTCTTCGCTTGTGAGTGATTTTCCACACATTACTGCACTTTATGATTCATAATTGGCTATATTGCACAATTTTTGTCTGCTTAAATTTTATCTCTAGGAATACATTGATCCAGGAATCATCCTAGTTCCAAAAGACAGATACTCCACCTTATATTGTATGTATATATCTGTTTACTGTAAGGTTTAAAGGAAAACTCACTAAGGTGTTAGAGTATCCACAACTATTGGCGTTACTCACTGGGATATTGTAATACATATAATTTTCTACAGTGTTAGAGAGGCCAAAGTCATTATTACCTTAATTAATTTAATTGTCAGCCAGTCCACACAAGTTTTGTTCCCATACATTCCTCTTAAGTTTCCATACTTAAGCAAGAGTATGTGAAGAATAGTTAGGGTTGCCACTTTCTTGTCCCCATGTCCGGTGTCCCCATGTGTCTGTGCCCCCAGATCTCCCAGTGTCCCCTATGCATCACAGTGTCCCTCTGTATAACATCAACTCAGTGCCCCATGTCTTCCAGTGTCTCCATGTCTCCCTGTGTCCCCCAGTGTCCTTTAGTGTCTCAGTGATAACTTAAGCAGATTTATTGAACACCGCAATGTTTCAACCTGTACCCAAGTTTGATAAAGAAAAATAAATATATATATATATGTGTGTGTGTGTATTATTATTTGTTTTTAAATCAATGGGCCTATTCCATGGACAAGGACCTGAAGCTGCAACTCCATCAGCCCCTATGTTAATTTGGCCCTGATGTGCAGTACAAGAAGTACAAAATGGCTTCTAACAACTAGGAACCCTTTATTTATTTAAACTCTCAAAAAATCAAAGGGAAATTATAGAGCTAGGAAACAAAGTTGTATTTCCTGGCACTATAGCTCCCTATAGTGCCCTCCTCCATCAAGGCCTCCCCCTTTTTCCCCCGTGTTGCAGAAGGGGTTATCAAAACCACATTAACTGAGTGTCAACCAGTGTTACAGAGTTTTCAGCTTTGGCAGTCACGCTGGCAATGTGATATAGCTATTACCTGACATTACCTGACATTTTGCATATAAGTGTCAGGGTCAATGTGATTGCTTATTGCAGCAGTGCTGCTTTCCCCAGTGCATTGGAAAACTTTCTGCCAAAAGTGCTATGCGTTTATTTTAATATATTTTATCAAATTTTGAACAATAAGACACTGAGCTAGCTTTTTTTCAGTTAAATGGACTCTCAAATCAACAAACCAATTTTAACTTGATTAAGTGGTTTTGGTGTACAGATAATGTCCTGTAGTCTCACTGCTCAATTCTCTGTCATGAGTAAAATTATTTTGTTTATGCATTCCTAGCCACACTTCCCCTGGCTGTGATGGCTGTGACTCATTTTGTGTAAAAGAGCCTACATTGTTAGCTTACCTTATTACACAGTGTGTTTAATTTAGAAAACATCTTATCTCCTACTCTGTCACTGGCATGCTAGAGCCTCCTGTGAGTGATTACTAACAACATAGGAGATAAGAACTTCTAAAGTAAACACGCCCTGCTATACGATCTGATTGAAAATAAAACCACCTTTTCATGGAGGTGTGGCATGTCTGGGGATATTTTGGAAGGGGGACAAAAATCTAAGTAGCCTGTAGATCATTGTAAATTTAGGAATACATGTTTGCATTCCTAATGCTATAGTGTTCCCTTAACCATGCTCTTGTTTATTTAACCTTTTTCAAACTCTTAACCAACTTACTCAATATATCCACTTGTACCCCCCTCCTCTCTCCCCCACCTAAAGTCCTAAACACACTCTCTATTACCATATGGGATCCCCTTGAAGCTTCTTTTAGTAACCATATGTCCGGTTACAAGTCTTAGACAAGTTTCTTGTCCAAATCCTGCCAGGTAAAAAAAAAGCCCACGGCCTATTTCAACTCAGCATGATGGGTTTTTACTCCAACTACCCTTGTTCCCAGAGGATTTAACGGTTGCAATCATTTATAAGACATGACTACAGAGAACGCTTAGATCCTAAATATTTAAGTCCAAGGACAGTGTCTGCATTATTTCTCATGTCATCCTCAAGATTTTTTTGAGCCTAAAGATAATCTCATCTCAACATATGCATGGACTGGGGATCCCAAACCATACTTTTTCAACGCTGGTTCACAGAGACTACAGCTTGATCCACCAGTTTCCCTGATTTAAAACAAAGTAAAGTGGGCTCTTAGCCTTATGTATTTCCCATAACTATGTTTAAGAGTTCTTGTGCATGTCCAGGGTTCAGGACGGCCTGTCAAAGGTTTTGTTTGCTAGTACCTTAAAGGATTTCTGCCCTTTTAGTTCTTTCGACCTTATTCTTTGCCTACACTGTTTTCTTATTTGTCCATGCTACTAGTTATTAACTTATCCCACAAGTAACTATTTCCAAATGGACCATGACCATGTTAAGGAAAACAAAATATGCTGACCAGATTAATTCCTTTTTATCTGTGCAGTCTATGGTCTTTTATTTCCTTGAAGGGAAACTCCAGTGCCAGGAAAACAATCTGTTTTCCTGGCACTGCAGGTCCCTTCTCCCTCCCACCTCCCAATCCCCGGTTGCTGAAGGGGTTTATAAAAAACTGCAATAATTACACTTGCAGGGTTAAGGGTAGTGGGAGTTGGCACCCAGACCACTCCAATGGGCAGAAGTGGTTTGGGTGCCTGGAGTGTCCCTTTAAGGTGTTGTAGCCTCCTGGGTTTATTCCTGCTCAAAGACATTTCTCTAGTTACATCCAAGTATATAATGGTAGCAATCTTTTTAAAATATGCAAAATCAATATGTAATACTTATGTTCAACTTATGCCTTTTACAGCAACTCCATGCGCGATATGTCCTTCAGCTCTTTCATGAAACCCAGACATTTCTCAAACAAATGCCAAATGTTGTTCATATATCTACATCATATTCCAAGGAGTTAACAATTTGTGGTGAGTAGAATGTAATTAGCTGATAGATTATTCTGTACTTTATGTGATTTCTTTATGGGTTTTATGTATTATGACAGCTAACCGCAAGAGAAACTTTACTTTAATTGACTTGACTATTACTCTCTTTATTATTAATAAATCACCTTGGGCTATCTTTCTGTGTGTATTAACCTCATCATAACATAGTTCTTTAAGATCTGCTGTGGAAATATAAAATATGTGCTGTTATACTGAATTGTGAGGAATGTACTGATGATTTTGGATATAAATATTACCAAAATGCCAGTATATTGTAAACATATTTGTACAAGTACATTAGGACACATACAGTAAGTACAACAACCTGATACATGTAGAACTGTTACTTCTGTGGAAGTGACAGTCCCAGTCACTGAATGTTCATTGAACCAATTGCTGGGTAAAGCTGTCATGCAAAATAATTGTGCTTACGTCTGCAAAACATTTTTGAATATGAATTAGAATATGGCATCCCATGATGTCTCAGGTGATCTCATGGGCATTCAGAATGTACAGAGGAATGCCATATGAGCACATATGCGCATTAGGTCTCCCCCGTCGGCTGACGTCGGTGAGGGAGGAGCATGGGCGGAGCCTGACCCAGAGCCGAGGGATATCTGCGCTGGATGCAGGTAAGTCACTGAAGGGGTTTTAACATGGGATGGGGGGTGGGAGGGAGGGGGCACTGCAGGGTCCTGTAATGCCAGGAAAACAGATTTGTTTTCCTGGCACTGGAGAATCCCTTTAAGTCCTTCAGGGGACAGGAGTGTCCTTTTAATGCATATTAAATGTCACTTTCTGAGCCAACAGTGTGCTTTGATGCCAATTGACTGATTAGGATCCTATTTACCTTGGGAAAAATTCAGTTAATATGAAACTTACAAACATGGAAGATTTTAAAGCCCCAGGCACTTCTGCAGCCTAAACACGAAAATAAAATTAATATTAATTCTGCTCATCATTGAAATAAATCTGTTTTGTTATTGATTCTGCATATTACTATATCTGTGTTATTTAGGTGATCTCCATGGGAAACTGGACGATCTTTTACTTATATTCTACAAGGTACTTTACTGTGTTTCATAATGTTTAAAATTAATCTTAAATAAAATTAAGCCATTTACATTTTCTTATGCATTTGTTTTCTACTAAATACATTCAATAGCTCACATGCTAATGGAGAATGTCATTCTAGCTATTTAAATAATAAAAGAAAAAACTAAATTGAGCCAACTCTTTTTAAACTTAAGGTGTTATATTTTTATTGCCCCAACATATTTTCTAATTGTGAGCACATCATATATATTATATCTGCAGAATGGTCTTCCTTCGCCAGATAATCCTTACCTTTTTAATGGAGATTTTGTAGACCGTGGGAAGAATTCAGTAGAAATATTAATAATCCTCTTTGCATTCCTTCTCGTCTACCCCAATCATTTACACTTGAACAGAGGAAATCATGAGGATCCCATCATGAATATGAGGTACAAGTAGTATTTATCTTGAGTGTATTGTAAAGCATGTATCTTCTCAACTGAACTTTGAGTATTTATAGCCATTTGGTCCCCAATTGGTACATAAAATATTTAAAATAATATAAAACTAACAATTGTATGGAGATGAAAAATGTAGAGATGTAATAAATACAGATTGTATTATAGAATATATATAAAATACATAAAAAAATAAATATATATTTATATATATATATGTATTAAGGCCTTTGGCCTGTAATTGTGGGAGGGGCGTATGACTCACCTTCTCCCTACTTAAGGGACACCCCTTACCTGGCTCCATACCGTTCGAGGTCAGCGCTGCATCGAGAATCCACTTCCGGTTCACGTACGGCGCCATCTTGCTTTTCAAAAACCCGCGGTTTTCGTTTGGTGTAGCTGTGTCCAGGAATCCTTACAGGTTTTCCGCCCGTTCAGCCACGCACATACCCGGTGTTTTCGTCGCAGATTAAGTCCACAGGACTTCAAAATCGTAAGTCCGTCGCCCGGATCATTTCCCACGGCGTCGCGATTTAAAACGGCCTTACTTTACGGCCACACGCTTTACGGCCAAGTCACAGGCATATTAACCCCTTTGCTGCCGGCAGGCATATCGGTTTCGGTTTTTCTTTGTATTAAGCAAATTTGTTCTGCATATCATCAGCTATAATTGGTTTCATGTTATTACTGTTATTTATTTTATGCAAATTACGAAATCCTTGCATATGACTGGGGCAATACCCCTGTTAACTACTTATGAATAAGTATTTATTTAGGTTATGGTTTAATCTTAGCAGATATGGCATTATTAAGTTTTATTGAAATTCTTCATGTTATATACATATATTTATGGAGTTAAGCTTAGACAAGCTTTTACATTTTACAGATATCGCTTGTAGGATTTACGTTATAAATTATGTTTAGAAATTTACGTTTCTATCATACCATGTACTCACGTTTCTTACATGGCACTTATATATTCTGACTTTTTCTTTGTGTACTCAAACGACATACCAAGTACACAAGAACACGGTCTCACAAATCTCACAAACTCTCGGGTTGAATCACACGCCTTGATTCAACCACTCATACGTCACGTTTTGTTTCCTAATTTTGGGATAACTTCTCAAATATTTCTGTACCTCGTACTTACCTCTTTTCATGGCTTACGTTTACAGCCTAACATATACGGTATTGTTTTAAATCCTGCACCTTATTATACCACAAACACTAGCATTACTATATCATACGCATTAATCTGGTCACCAGAGAGACATATCATACACACCCCCAAGCATGATTACCATACCACATACAGGGCCAGTCGGGCCAATATCACTCATGTATTCCCTTTCCATATGTACTACTAGAACTCATCACAAATAACTAGTCTAAATTGGTATCATAGGATCCAATTCTCACACTATCATATTTGGTTTTTCTATCCCTTTAGGTTTTCCAGTTTTTTTTTTTCTTCTACCTATCGCTTATCAAACGCATACATACTACCAGGTACGTTAAGCCTGCTCACGCCATACATCACATATGGTTCCTCCTCTACTTAGGACATAGAGTACTGGCAATTTTAGGGGTTATAGGCCCAAATAGGTATCCCCCCTCCGGGCATTCTGCCTATCGTTTAGTGGTCCGCGAGGCCAACACCCCGCCTCAACGTTTCGGAGGTAATGCCCCCCGGGCCACACGTGAGTTAGCCGCCTCGCATTATAGAGAGGGTGCCACCTGTCACTCCCTTCCCCTGTTTTCTTGTATTGTCACCGAGAGGCCTACGAATTCCTGCCACTACGTCGGGTGGCCTCAATAACCCCTCGCGCCAACGCATAGATAGAGCCTCTCATAGCCACTTGGCAACTAGCAGGGCCTCACCTGTCACCAAAGAACAAGTTTAATTTTTCGCCTCATCCGGCATAATTAGCCTGCCAGTACATCCCCTCGGGGGGTTTTATGCTAACCATATACTTTGTAATCTAGTATGTCTCAAGAAGGGGTAGAGGATTTCTCCATCCCAAGGACTCCGGCTAGAACCAACACCCCATCACAGGAGGAAGATACGGCTAGTCCAGCATCTTTCAGATCATGGACTATCCCTCGTATCACTAGCGAACTCAGGAGACGACAAATCCCTTTTCCAGCAACAGCAAGGAAAGCGGAACTTTACAAATTATTACACACCTCAACTGATAACATGGACGCTGGGGAAGGGTCGAGCCAGTCCCACCCAGGGAACATACATGACATGCTCACGTCCCTCATGACATCCATGAGCAAGGTCAATTCTAGGCTGGAGAAACTTGAATCGGTCACTACAGCCCTCACTATGGCTGGACCGGCCACGGCAATTCCCCCATCAGTGGTGGAGTCGCAATCAGTTTCTCCAGCTATCACCTCGGATGACCAAGAAGTTTACCCTGCCCACATGATTCCTGAGCACCTCAGGAGAGATATCCTGGAAGGTAAAGATGTCAATCTGGCCTCACTACTAATTGCCTCCCAGGATATAGTGGAACATAAGACCTACGCTTATGACGATATTTCTGTGGTGGTCAAATCCAGGGATGCACGATTAAATAGGAAGCTAACCATTCCTGAATTTGTATTAGCTTTTGGCATTTATCGGGATGTGGTCTGTACGGTATATCCCCACAGACGTGAGGAGTTTGACTTATATATGCACAGGCTGGTTGATCTGGGCAACAAATATGGTGGGTCAGCTTTCTATGACTACCATAGATCTTTTTCTGCCAAAGTGTCTGGCGCCTTCTCACAGTACGGGACAAGGTCCAACTGGAGTAAGATTGATACGATCATTTTTGCAGGCACTTTGCAGGTCTAAGAGCACCGGCCTGTGCACACTGCTCCTCCATGGCTCATACTGCCAATTTTTGTCCGACCACTGCGAACGAACCTACCACCTCGCAGGGCACTAGCTCCGCTGTGTCAGCAGAGAGAACACCCAAAGACAAACTGGGTCGACCTATCAAGTTTTTGGGGAAGTCCCAAATATGTAATAATTTCAATGTCGGTGCATGTAATTACAGCGGTTGTCGGTTATTGCATATATGTTCAAAATGTTTTAGGGCACATGCGAAAACCATGTGTCCAAATAAAATGTACCCTAAGCAATACTTAACTGAGATAAATATTTCTGTACTCACGGCATTACTGTCACAACATCCATCTAGACATTTGGTAGACTTCATCATCACTGGTCTATCACAAGGATTCCATACTGGTCTCATACACATGCCTTCAGGAATCCTTGAATGTCCTAATTTACAATCTGCACAACAAAACCCTACAGCGGTCAGCACACTCATAGCCAAAGAAGTGGCAGAGGGCTTCCTATTGGGACCCTTCCAGTCCTCTCCTTTTTCCACATGGCGGACAAACCCCATCGGTATTGTCACAGGGAAATCTTCCCACAAACAAAGACTTATCATCGATCTGTCTGCACCTCACACCTCTGCCTCACCTAGTCTGAACTCCCTTATCCCCTCTGAGGAATTTTCACTTCAATACTCCACCATAGATCACGCCATTACAGCTATCATGCAGGCAGGGGTCGGAGCATGGCTCAGCAAGACTGACATTACAAATGCCTTCAAATTATTGCCTATCCACCCTACACTATGGCACCTGCATGGCATTAAGTGGGCCGGGCACTACTACTTTTTCTCACGCCTAACGTTTGGTTCAAAAAGTAGTCCGGCCATTTTTGACGTATTCGCCGAAACATTATGCTGGTTATTATTAAATGTAGCCAGATGCCCTACAGTTATACACTACCTGGATGATTTCTTACTGATCGAAGAGAACACTTCCCCTCCCAGTAGCCTCATAGAAACCATCAGTCTTTTTAAACAGGTGGGTGTTCCAGTCTCCCCCACCAAAACTGAAGGACCAGATACAGTCATCACCTTTCTGGGAATCATACTAGACTCAGCCACCATGCAAGCCAGCCTGCCACTCACCAAGATAGAGAACATTCTCACCAACATTAACCTCTACATACACCTCGGTACTTGCAATCGCAAAGAATTGCAGTCTCTACTTGGGTCACTGAACTTTGCCATGCGCATTATACCTCAAGGCCGGGCTTTCATCTCACGGCTCCTAACCATGTTCCCACTGTTTAGACATGATGCACACAGGTTACCACTGGATACCCAAGCCACGGCAGACCTACTTATGTGGAGAAACTTTTTGACCACCTGGAATGGGAAAAGCATGTTTCTCCCTAAATTGTCTGACTCCTCACCTACCATCTGGTCAGACGCGGCGGCTACCACAGGTTTTGCAGCAATTTACGGGAATGAATGGCTTTGGGGTAGCTGGCCTCCAGAGGTACAGGACCTGGAAGGGTTTTCCACTACCTCAGCTCTATTTGAGATGTATCCCATTGTAGCAGCTGCCGTGACATGGGGGCATCTATGGGCAGGTTCGTCAGTACGTTGCCACTCAGACAACCAAGCTACCTGCCACATCATAAACAAAGGCCGATCCAAGTCACTGACCATTATGAGGTTCTTGAGGAAACTCACCTGGCTGGCTGCATGCCATAACTTCTTCTTGTTTTGTGTCCATGTCCCAGGTGTTTGTAACACGGCTGCTGACAATTTGTCTCGTTTCAATTTTCAGGCTTTTCGGCAAATACTTCCGTCAGCCGCACGTACAGCCACGACCACTCCACCTTTCCACCAGCTAGTCATGGACTAGAAGCTATTATGCAACATAGCAGGACATTGGCACAATTAGCACTGTCCACCAATACCCGGAGAACATATGACAGGGCTTTCCTTCTATTTAAAAGATTCCTGTCACTACACAACGTCACACAACCTTTCATCATGACATCTTTGTTAGGTTTTGCTTCTTTTTGCCACCTCAAACTTAAATTATCTTACAACACAATCAAGCTATATCTAACAGGCATACAACATCACATGCTAACATTACAACCAAACAACACAAGTTTCATGTCCTCCTACCAGATAAAAACATCCTTAGAGGTATCCAGAGATCCGAACCCCCACGTACCGCGCAAAGGCTACCTATAGACTTCAATATCTTCAAGGATTTATCCAGCCTACTAGATTCAAAACCCTTTGCGAACAACACAAACCTTGTTATAAAACCGCCATATACGTAGCTTTTTATGGTTTCTTGAGACCAAGAGAATTTACCGCCATCAACACATCCCAGTCCACTCACATTCTGCTTCATTCACACTTAACGAAACACATGGATTACTATATTTTAACTCTGCATCACTCCAAAACCAATCAACACGCACCCCCGGTAGAGGTTAGATACTATCCTACCCACAACGTGTGGTGCCCCGTCACATTACTGGACACCTATACTCAGCATTTCAAGGCATCACCATCTCAACCACTTTTCTGTCTACAAGGTTCGGTACTCACTACCACCACCTTCATGACCCACGTCAGGTCCCTACTTACACAACTAGGCCTAAAATCAGCTAACTATTCGGGCCACTCCTTCCGCATAGGGGCGGCCTCCACAGCGTCCAGTGCAAACATTCCAGTACATGTTATCAAGTCACTAGGGCGCTGGAAGTCTTCTGCATACTCTAGATACATACCTAACCCGGTACAAGAAGTTAGAAATGCCTTTCAAGATATGTCTGGTTGAAGTATGTATACTGCTCGTTTCGTAATAAAGTATATTTTCTACTTTTGCCCTCTTTATTTACAGGCCTACCTCATCGTCGGTTCCGGCACACCACAACCGACTTGCTCTTTCACACTATCCCATACTTATCAGTGCTGGTTTCTTCTGTACTATCATGAGCCCTTAACACAAGTATTAAGGCCTTTGGCCTGTAATTGTGGGAGGGGCGTATGACTCACCTTCTCCCTACTTAAGGGACACCCCTTACCTGGCTCCATACCGTTCGAGGTCAGCGCTGCATCACCCTCCCACCCACTCCTCTTTTATTAACTCCTTTTTCTCATACATTTCTTATTGGTGGGCCCTCTTTATTTACAGGCCTACCTCATCGTCGGTTCCGGCACACCACAACCGACTTGCTCTTTCACACTATCCCATACTTATCAGTGCTGGTTTCTTCTGTACTATCATGAGCCCTTAACACAAATATATATATATATATATATATATATATTTATATATAAAATTATATAAATATATATATTTATTTTTAAATATTTTTTGTATCTTGCATTCACAATAAAAAACTGTACTTTAAAAAAAAAAAACTACATGCTTATAGTTTTAGTTGGCTAGACTCCCAAATATATATATATATATATATATATATATATATATATATATATATATATATATATATGAAACCAGGGGGTTGCACTCACCTGAAAATGCATAAATGGGGTGCTGCTGGGGGCCAATTTATACAATACACAAGATCCAGCGCACTCACTTATCTACTAAACAGCAACTTCAATGTTGACAGATTGTTTTAGTTTTTTTTAAAAACACCTAATCTAGGCAAAATAATGGGGGTTTAGTTACATTATATGATCATACATTGCATAAGCCTGCCACAACGTCAGTGTACCATATATTTATGGATATGTAACTATACGATGAATAGACACCAAAAAATGGTAGAATATCCTTCCAAAGTTAAATCTCGAGAGAGGGTGTGACAACCATAACCGCGGTATCACTTGTAAAAATAATAACCACCACTAAAGGTTAAAAATATAAAACGTGTAAGATGCTTATTGAAATAAATGAATAATGAATACAGGACTCAGTGGAAATGGAGAAGCAAATAGCAGCTAAATAAATAAGAATACCCTTGATTCCTCTTTAAATGTGTCAGCTAGTCAGATCATAACCTCCTATAGAATAAAGTAGGTGAAATCCACTGGCTGTTAAAGGGTTAATCTAGTAAAGATTCTGTAATATATAGAATCAATACACCATGTTAAAAAGTGATAAATAATAAAAAATAATAGATCCCACAGGGGATTGTAAAGTCCTTCGAACTAAGTCTAATATATGGTGCAGCAGACAGAGTACTGTTCATGAAAATTTGTTAGTACATATCAACTGTCTACAAAACACATAATAATATAAAAGACTAGTAAATAAAACAGTCCCAAATGAGAGAAGCAATAATACCAGGTATAGCAGACTGGGGGTCCAAAGATGTTAGTAACACTCTCTTGACGGCCGGACAGAGGTGAATTGGGACCTCCTCTTGCTGGAATAACACTGTGTACTAGCCGCGTGCATTCCACTGTGGCTGCTGGATGCATTCCAAATGCTCACTCTCAGGAACCGATCTGTACCGATGTGGAGATGCCGCCTAGGCTTTTATATTATTATGTGTAGACAGTTGAAATGTACTAATGTACTAGTACTAGTACATGTACACTAGTACATGTACTAATACATTTTCGTGAACAGTACTCTGTCTGCTGCACCATATATTAGACTTAGTTCGAAGGACTTTACAATCCCCTGTGGGATCTATTGTTTTTATTATTTATCACTTTTTAACATGGTGTATTGATTCTCTATATTACAGAATCTTTACTAGATTAACCCTTTAACAGCCAGTGGATTTCACCTACCTTATTCTATAGGAGGTTATGATCTGACTAGCTGACTGTCAGGATTACAGAATGATCCAGCACCTAGAATTGTGTAACACAGAGGACTGATAGGTAACGTATACCGGACCTTAGAATGGCCGGACTAACGTACCAAAGAATAGTCAGGAATAGCCGAGGTCAAGAGATAAAGAAAGAGACACAATGATAAGGAAAAGCCAGGAGTCAGGGATGCCAGAAAACAGGGACGTCAAAAACCATGCCAAAGTCAAATAACCAGAATAACCAAAATCAATAACGCGCTCTTGGACAACCACAAGGGAAACAACGACAGGGCACTGAGCATGATGAGAACTGGGCCTAAATACCCCTCCTCTAGATCTGATAGGCTGTAACCGGCCTTTGACCCCAAAGGCAGTTACCAGGTTTCCATTTGCATAATTGCTGCTCAGCCCAAACCCTCCTGTGGATTTGGTTGCTGCTCGGCACAACTTTTCATGTGTGGACAGTAAATGCTATTAACCACATTTTTATAAGCGGATGAATACGTGACACTGACACATTTAAAGTGGAATCAAGGGTATTCTTATTTATTTATCTGCTATTTGCTTTTCCATTTCCAATGAGTCCTGTATTCATTATTGATTTATTGCCATAAGCATCTTACACTTTATATATATATATATATATATATCTTCAAAGACATATTCCTTCTGACTAAGTAATCCACAAATTGTGTTTGTTTTTACAGATATGGCTTCACAAAGGAAATAATGCAAAAGTACAAGGTACAAATTGCAACAAAACATCAATTTTTTATATCCTCCACCTCAATGTTTAAGTTCTGTGATATTTTTCCTCTGTTCTCTATTCATAAAGCTTTATTGATCATCTTTAGATTGTGTAGCTTTAATAAACACTCACCTCACAATGCCCAGTTCAGACCTATCTGCCTATTTTAGGTCCTTCTTCTTTGCTTGACTTCTCCTTATGCTTCAGAAACCTCCAGACCTTTCTGCCACCTTCAGAACTTATTGCCTCTTCGAGAGCTCTGCTCAGTTCACTATGTCATGATCACTGATCACCTCCACAATGGATGGTTGGGAAGTGCTGTGTACTTATGCTTGCTGTGTTCCATTGGCTTCCTCTTCATTGTTATGTCATTTTGTCATTTTCAAAATGTCTTGCGTTTGAACATTTCATTAATTTAACGGTTGTGGTGTTTGCAAAAAAAAAACAAACAAAACATTTAGGGGAACTGTTTTAAACATTTTATAGAAAGATATGCATATTCTGACAGTTTGTAGCATTTTTTTGTATAGCGCCTGTTACTGAGTTGACATTCATCAAATATAGACTAAAAAGCAGAGTTAGAATAATAACCCACTTTTCCAGCACTGCTAATTTTTGAAAGTTGCTTCTGAACTACAAATAAACAAAAAAGATGTTATTTCTGTTTTAAAAAAAAAAAAACATTCAAATATTGCACCAACCTGCACTATTCTCTTCCTAAAATAGACAAATAAAATAAATATACATCAGATTCTGTAATGCTTGGTATCAGTGTGTGCCACTGTAGCATGGAATCAACATGCACTGTAATATGCTATAACCTGAAACGATGCTATAGCAGTATTTAAATTAATTACACTACAATTATGTTTATTTGTATTACTTATTGTTGGCAGCGCTGTAGGCAAGAGTAAAGATTTGAAATGATAAACAATGAACCACTGACAAACATTTGTGTAACAATTATACTTTAGTGCAGGGGTGCCCAGCAGGTAGATCCCCAGATGTTGTAGTACTACAACTCCCATGATGCTCTGTATGTCTTTAGAATGCTTTAGAATGGCATAGCATCACAGAAGCTGTAGTTTTAAAACATCAGAGGATCTATCTTTTGGGCACCCCTGCTTTAGTCAATAAATACTTATAGTAAAGGAACTCACATCCAATCAGATGTGTCCCTTATATGTGTCCCCGATTTCTCCTAGAAATCAGCACGTTTATAAACTGGGGTTAAACTAGAGTATTCCTTAGTACTCAAGCTGAAGTGCTTTTGGGGTGTGGAGGTGTCCTTTAAATGCAGTACTAACATTTTAGCTGAAGGAGACTTTGAGATTAGTAACATCCACATTGTTGTTGTTATGCCTTGTTTTATATAAATAATTGTTTTCATATGATGTTTAAAATGTCAAATTTCTCATCTCACAGAAGCATGGCCAGAAAATGCTACATCTCTTAGAGGATATCTACAGCCAGTTGCCTCTTGCGACCATTGTAGACAGTAAAATCCTCATTTTACATGGAGGAATAGCAGATACAACTGACTTAGATTATTTGACCTCATTTGAAAGAAATAAGGTAAGTAGAACAAGTAATGGCACCTCAAAATAAAATAATGCCAATAAATATATATTATATCAATTTATTTATTTTTAGTGTAAATGGTCATAGGTGAATATGCACCTTCTATTTAAAACACGTATATGTTATTATTTATTATAATCATAAAAAAATACTATTGGATGAACTGTGCAATGTGTTGATGCTTTACAGTAGAAATTCCTGTGCGATATGCTGTACAATAGGAAAACTACCCTGAGATTGTACTAGTGGATTCGAAGTCACCTATTATTTGAGATTTAATACAAGTTTAATGTGTGAGGAAAATTATATTTGAAGTATAATTAATTCAGTTTATTTTATGCCTTAAGAAAATTTGTCAATTTTTAAATGTTTCCCTAAATGTAACTTTAAAAGTTTGTACCGTTCTTTGTAAAATGTCACCTGTATGAGTCCATCAAAAAAAACGGAATAAATGCTCATGAGCAGAACATTATGTTTTATCACTTACATTAAACAATTACTTTATTTAGTATGCATCACAGTGGCACTTTGTGCATATGCACATATTAGAAGTAATGAATAGGTTAGGTTGCAGTTAGTTATGGCTCGAGTTTTATATTTATTAATCTATAGATTAGAAAAATAGTTTTGATTCATCCTCTCAACCAATCCATAGTGTTTCTCTTTTTGTGTCAATAAACCAGGTGTATGTGATACACAGCAAATGATTCTGATAGTTTCAATTCAGTTAGCTTTCTGTTGCAGAAAGCTGACAAATGAACTACAAATCCCAGAAACCCATTACTTCAAGTGATTTATTGAATAATATCAGCACTGCCGTACAGAGTTACACTGGTTAAGTCCCTTTCTCGTCAGGGCACAGGTCACTGCAGGATCTGTCTCCATACTCGTTCAAAGTGTTTGACTGTATTATGGCGCTTAATATTTAGTTTTAAAATGCTGTAGATGGGCTAACATGTAATATAAATATAAGGCAGCTCTAGAGGAGACAATTTCACTACACATGATCACTGCAGGACTGCATTCAGTGGCTGAAAGTGCTCATCTTGCTCACATGGCCCTGCTTTGCTCTGTAGAGATATCCAGATTCTGCTGCTAGGGAAGACTGAATGCAGAGGATGAGGTAAGTTGTCAAACCATGCTAAACCAGTTTGACTAATTACCATGGATGACAACAGGGCATTTATGGTACCATAACTACTATGGAGGATTTACTGCTTATGCCTCACCTGTTAGCATCCCTAGGCATGACATCTAATGAGGTGTGTGTGTATATATATATATATAAATACATACACAAGATCCAGCGCACTCACCTATCCACTAAACAGCAACTTCAATGTTGAAAGATTTTTTATTTTTTTTTAAACACCTAATCTAGGCAAAAATAATGGGGGTTTAGTTACATTATATGATCATAGATTGCATAAGCCTGCCACATATATATATATATATGTCTACCTCAGATAATCATAGATTAGAAGCTCCTTCGAGCAGGGTCCTTTCTATAATTGTAAAGCGCTGTGGAATATGTTGATGCTGTATAAATGCTAATAATAACAATAATACAAACCCTGTACGTCCTATGTAAAGCTACACAGAAGAGAATCCAATAACCTTTGCAAAGTAGCATTTGAAATTTTAGCTGGGAAAGCAGAAAAAATGTCAAAGTATCATAAGTCATGGTTTAGCTCACAGTAGTGATTGTTATTTTAAAGTTGACATTCTTGCAAATGTGTTACATATATGGAATTGAAAATTATATTATTTTCTCATACTTTATTAAAGTACAAGTCTGCCTTGCGACCACCAAAGCCGCAGAAACACAACAAACCAAACCAAACCAGTTCACAAAACACGATGTCTGGCCACAAAACAGATGGTTCTGATGAATGTTACTCTCCAGCACTGTTCTCACAATCTAAAGGAACACATAACATGATGGTGAGAACTGGACTAAGCCGTAATAGTATTCTTGAAATACATTACCTGGACTCAAATATCCAGATGCCTGACATGACTCCCGAACTGACAGCTACAGAACGTGAGGAATGGAAACAGGTACATGATCGTTAAATAACAGAGATTAACTGTGGTGTATAAACAAATTACGATGGTGCCACCTTTTTGATCTCTTGTCTCCTAAAAAAAAAACTGTATTAAAGAGATAAACAATTGTGTATAAGAAACAAACCCACACTGCAACATTGTTAAATTAAATTTAATTGAAATTAGCTTTTTTTTTTTTTTTTACTTGCATTTGTAACATTTTGATAAGATTGGAACATTCTGATTATATTGGTTACTTCTGTGCACAATTAAAAGGAGTTAAACTAGAAAAAACAACAACAACAACAAAAACAATCAAAGGCCCGAGACTCAAAACGCAAGCATTTGCAGGCAACGAGGTTTGGAAACAGAGGTCCGTTGCAGTAGTTTCTGTTTACTATTTCATTTCAGTGTTTGGAGAATTGCCTGTGCATATATTTTGAGGAACTGATGCAGATAGGGACGATTCATATTTTGTTTATACTCCTGCCCTCTGTATATACTATTGTTGTCTGTTTTTCTAGCTATTTGTAAATACAAAGACGAACAGTTCTGATTAACCTTAATCTTTTTAAAAAGTATATTAGTTTGATAGGGCAATAATTGTAGAAATATTCTTCAATTGGATACATTTAACAATAAAGGTATAAATTAAACAAAACTCATAGATTGTAAGTAATATGCCAACTTGTGTTTCATACTGAAGTTACTGAGACTATATTTAAAAGAAGAAAAACTACCACAACAAGAGGACATAGTCTTAAATTAGAGGGGCAAAGGTTTCAAAATAATATCAGGAAGTATTACTTTACTGAGAGGGTAGTGGATGCATGGAATAGCCTTCCAGCTGAAGTGGTAGAGGTTAACACAGTAAAGGAGTTTAAGTATGCGTGGGATAGGCATAAGGCTATCCTAACTATAAGATAAGGCCAGGGACTAATGAAAGTATTTAGAAAATTGGGCAGACTAGATGGGCCGAATGGTTCTTATCTGCCGTCACATTCTATGTTTCTAAGTTAATATATCCATTTATAACACAGGCAAACCCGCTAATTCTGGATAAAATTAAAGAGTGTGCTATGTAATAATTATTGTGCTGTTCTGTTTTTAAAGGTTGTGGACATATTGTGGAGTGATCCCAGAAACCAAAATGGCTGCTTACCCAACAGCTTTCGAGGTGGAGGTTGTTACTTTGGGCCAGATGTAACAGCAAAGTTACTTGATAAATACAATTTAAAAATGTTGATTAGGTCACATGAATGCAAAGAGGAAGGCTATGAAATATGTCACAATGGAAAGGTAAGAATTTGTGTAGGTTTACACCAAACACATTCTCTCTGATCCAGTATGCATGCTTGTCATTAAAGAAGAACAGCTCATTGAAACTTTTCACTCCTATCCCTTACATATTCTAGCCAAAGCTCCTAGAGTTACATGCTGTCACATATATGTATTATAGAACATTTTGGAAAACCCATATATCATTTATACAAAGTGCTGGAAAGATATTAACTAAGGAGATTAGAAGTGTCATGTTTTGGAACTTAATGCTTTATAATCATCAGATAACCTGCTTCTAGCATTGATATTTATACACATCAAGCATTGCACCATTACAGAAATAAAGATGATGCACATCAAACATGAAGGAAGAATCTGTCCAAATGAAAGGAAGAAACCATGACTGGTGCATCCATTATGGATTGGAAAGAAAGTATATTAACATAAAATAGTTTGATCAATACAAGCTGGTAATATAGATGAGATAGGGTAGAGTGGAACAATGTAGAAATGGAATAAAAATGATAGAGTAGGGTAGAATGGGGAAATGTGAAGGATATAAAAGCTTGCTAACATGGTGTGAGGAAAGTGTAATAGGTAAAGAGGAAATACTGCAATAGAACTGGTGGGATCTGAGATAGAGGGTAAAAGAGGATCAAAGGAAGACTAGGTATAGAAATTGTATTGGGATGAAGATGTTTAGAACCGGGGAAGCTAGAAAGGGACAAAAACTAAAATAAAAAGAGGGTGAAGTGAATTCAAATAAAAAGCTTTCATCATAGTTACATAGCTGAAAAGAGACTTGCGTCCATCAAGTTCAGCCTTCCTCACATTTGCTTTTTTGCTGTTGATCCAAAAGAAGGCAAAAAACCCAGTTTGAAGCACTTCCAATTTTGCAACAAGCTAGGAAACAAAATCCTTCTTGACCCCAGAATGGCAGTCAGATTAATCCTTGGATCAAGCAGGTGTGTGTAAATGGGGAGGTTTAGAAAAAGATTTACATGGTGACATGATCGCGATTTGTAGATGGACGGATTCAAATGCAGTAAGAATAGGATAAAAAAGATGGAAACCGGAACATTGCTTTGGAACAAAGTGGGATTAGGTAGTAAAGTAATAAAGAAGGGTGAAGCAAATGAGTTGTGGGAAGGTGGAATAAAACATACGATTGCAGGTCAATCTATAGCCAAATAAAATTAATGTAAACATTGAAACTTAAGGAGTGAAATACAAGCAAACATGTTAAACTGTTTTAGGGTTGGAAATATATAGACAGCAGTGATATCAGAGACTTAAAAAGACACTCTAGGACCCACCCTGCTTAATTTCAGTTTAAACATTTCCATTTAGTATATATGGAAATTTCTTGAATACATGACCTTCCTGACTTCATTATAGCCCACAGATAGTGCTTCCCCACTATTGATTAAAGATTTACTTGGTTGTGAGACATTGGATGCATTTGATTAGATGCACGCGCAGTGCTCACCTTGCATGCAATTCTGGTTCTAGTGCTTCTTTGTGAGAAGCCTCAAGCATGACATCACAGGAGAAGGTGTGTGTCTCAATGCTGGAAATAAAAGTAAGTATAAAGCTTTTTTTTCCTTTTTTTTGTTTTTTTTTAAATTAGGGGGCATCTAACCCGAGGAGACACTATAGTGTTAGGAATACATATTTGTATTAACAATACAATAGTGTTTCTTCAAGGAAGCAGAAATACGGTAATATATTATTCAGGTAACATGAATGTTATTAGCAAAGTTCCAGGGACAAGATTAATAAAATGTCCATGTCTCCTCCACATAGTTTGTTACTTGTTATATGAAATCGGTTTATATGGTGCATGTGTGAAATTATACTATTATTTGTCATGTTAATGCATCTAGTTGTACTGCTGGTCCTCTGTTAATGTAAATTGTAATTTTTCCATTAAACAGGTAAATAAATGTTCTTATATTAAACAGGAACAAAACTAGTGTCTCATAAGAGATCTAGTGGACACAAACAGTGAATGTCTCATTAAGAAACATTAAATGTCTGGGGAGCTATAAGTAGGAACTAATGGTAACGTACTAATGAGGTATTAAAGTAAGAGGATAATTTAAGGAGAAATATGACTAAGGCATTACATGAGACTAAATTAGAGTCCCTCATGAGATCAAAGAAGAATGTCAAAATAAACGTATAAACATAACAGAACCTTCAATTATACAAGAAAAAGGAATAACAGAAGTCAGCAAGGGGACTGTGGTACCTGAATATAAATTATCAGCAATGTCCAATCTGAGTTCCTTTTCAACTCTCCAGGGTGGCATCCAGACCTTTGCGGCAAATTATTGCACGTGTGCTACACCATTCCCTGCAGCCAAACTCCATTATAGAATACTGCTTTTTTACAGTATCATGTGCACAGTTGTTTATTGAAAGTTGTGGGTAGGTGATGTACAAGTAAATAGAATAGAAGTGAGTCAAGAATGCAAAAGCAAACATTGGATGGGTGTTAGATTGTAAGCTTATTTGAGCAGGATCTTCTTGGCTCTGTTAATTGTTTTGTATGTAAGTTAATTATTTAATTTCAATAAACTAGACAACTTTAAACGGTAGCACTGCAGAGAGAAGTTTTTTTTTCACTTTAAGCTGTAGTGGTAATGGTGCTTAGAGTAACCCTTTAAGTTACATTGTCATTGTATGAGTACTGTTAAAGAAGATTTTATCATTAGTTCACGTACATATAACTTGTCAGTTATTTGATTTTCAACTTTTCTCATTTTCCTTTCCTTTCATGTAATGAATGATAGTTCTTGAATATTAACAGGGTTATTTACTAAAGTGAGAATGCAAAGTGAATTTCATGTTTAAGACCACAATAGTTGAACTGGAAAAAAATATCTATTCAGCTATGCTTCCAGTTTGACTACTTTGACCTGAAATTTGAAATACTGTTTGAATTTACTGTAAATACTCACCTTAGTGAATAACCCTGTACGTGGTTGTAGGGGTCTTCTATTGATAAGTATAAATACACTATTTTCTTCTCTAGGTCATAACTATTTTTTCAGCTTCTAATTACTATGATGAGGGCAGCAACAGAGGAGCTTACTTAAAACTGTGCCCAGCCCTAGCACCACGATTTGTGCAATATCAAGTGAATAAATGCACGCGAAAACTTACTCTTCATCAAAGGTTAGATGGCATATTTATTTATTTGCTATATTTACTTACTTCATATATCGATTTCATGCAGCTGAGTAATGTTTTTATTTTATAATGTCCAATTTATGTGTAAATTACTGTTCAAAAACATGCAGTTTATTTTAGAATATCTGCAACTCTAAGTATATTTTATCATAGCAAAGTTTGGGCTTCATATATGGACTGAACCCCATTCTCTTTAAACACTATCAGTCCCAGATTAATCCAAAAGACAGAATTACCTTTAAATAAAGAGAAAGTGGTTGTTTCCCAATAACAATTAATGTTGTGATCTGGTGAGCTGTATGTAGCAATAACCGAATGTTCACTTTAAGATAGGCATGATGATTCACTTAGAGGTCCAATGCTGAAGATATTTATCTGCAAAGAAAATTCATACACTGTGCTGTGGAGCCTACTAATTCATATAAGAAGCTGGAAGGGTAGTTCATTTGATTAAAGAATCGATTGTTGACAGTACAGAGCTCTGGCCCTAAGTATGATAACTTAGATTTCAAAGATGGATAAAATAAGTTCCATTCAAATAGGGAGTAATATCTATTAACACCTTAAATAAATCTCAGACCTCTTAAGAAAAACAAATCAAATATTGAATGTTACACCAAAAAAGGGTGGTTTCAAACATATTCATACTTGTTTACTTGTTCTCTTTGCTTTTTAGAGTGAGTGCTGTAGAAGACTCAGCCTTTAGAGCGCTACAGGAAAAAATCTATACACATCGTTCAGATCTCATGAAAGCTTTTAGAGAGCATGACCCAAAAGAAACAGGTAGGAATTTACATATTTACTTAAACAAAAAAAATATATAAAAAAACATTTACAGGGTTTCTCCAAGCACCATTACCATATATCGATATGAAGTGGCTAATGTGCTAGGAGTCTCTATGTGCAGCGTTTTGTCTCGAAACACTGCACTTACAGAGATAACAAGGCATGGAGGATTGGGCTGCGGATGAAACTGGAAAAACGGTAAGTTTAATCTTTTTTTTTAATTTTGTGGAGAGGGGTGGACAAGAGCAAAAACAGTGTATTTTATTCACATAGACTAATTTCTAAACACATATATTGTAGTTTAAAAACACATTGCTGTGAGTATAATTGCTGTTAAGTTTTGAGATATACCAAGATGTAGAGATGTGCATGGGAAAAATATTCGGTTCGGCATTCCAAAATTCGGAACTTCGACACTTCGGAATACATCCCTGGGGCCATAGTCACAGGACAAGAGGCTGGCAAGTAGGCCTCTCCAAACCCCAGTGACGAAGGTGCTTTCGTCACAATCATGATGAACTATGTGCAACAAACTATATAGGTGATATAAATCCACTCAAACTAAGGAAAAAAGACACACAAAGGGTTATACATCAAGCAGTGAACTAACCCTTGAATTGTCAATTATGCCCAAAATAGTGGAATATTAAATATTTTATGTTGGTTTCAATTATCCAATGTTGTGTGAATATTTTGATACAAAATTTAAATAACAACTTTAAATGGCAACTGGGTATACCGCATAATCACACAATAAAATCTGGATATGGATAATGGAACATAGTTGATATAGGTAGAATGTCATACACAATAAAAGCATGAATATATAATTTAACTAGGCATTAATAATAACATTCTATCAATGTGTTTTTTATTTATGATTTGTATTGCAGGAAGAATTTCTATTAGCGAGTGGGCATTATCAATGGAAGCAGTTTTACATCTAAATCTTCCATGGAGAACTTTACGTTCTCGTTTAGCAAAAATCAATTCTGATGGAACTGTGGAATATCTTTCATGTTTTGAAGATCTTCAAATACAGCAGCCAGTTAAAGAAGTCTGTATTTTTCTAACTCATATAATTGTCATAAAATAAATGATGAAACCTGAGACTGTTATTTTGCATACAAAAGATTTTTAATGTGCTTTGAGATTTTAAGATGCATCATATGAACAACTTTTAATACCATTATTCAGATCAATATATAAATATTCAAGTCAATATTGTAAATTTTCACCACTTCAAACTATACTTGTTACACAAACATTTTTAGTTCCCAATAATGTAAAATTACATAACAAAAAATACTTAAAATAAAAATCCAAATAACAACTTAAACTCATTTTAATTTATCACTCCCCATTACAACTTCACCTCAATTAAGTTGTTATGGTACATGCTATCATATCTTAAGGGGTTAAACCATTTTCGCCTGTTTAACTCAGAGGTTCGTTCTCTGGTGCCTAGGAACTGTGCCTACTGTCATACATTGAAGGAGAGCATGCCACTAGGCAGAAGGTGTCAGGTTACTCTATCATTCTATTACTGGTCACCCATTGGGAGTGATAGCATGCATTATTACTCACAATGGACAGCAAGTGTTAGCCTATCACCGGTTGCCAAGGCAAATCTTCTGGGCTATACAGCAGCAGGAGGAGGAGGTTTAACCCTTGAAGATACAATGGCCCAAGTGACTCCAAGCCCATGAGAACTTTAAAGGGGCACTATAGTCAAGAAAACAACTTTAATTTAATGAAGCAGTTTTTGTGTATAGATCATGCCTCTGAAGTTTCACTGCTCAATTCACTGTCATTTAGGAGTTTAATATTTTTTGTTTCTGTTTATGCAGCTCTAGCCACACCTCTCCTGGCTTAGCCTGCATTAAAAAACAAAATGGTTTCATTTTCAATCAGATGTTAACCTACTTTCCAAGTTTTTATCTCCTACTCTGTAAATTCAACTTTAATTACATACAGGAGGCTCCTGCAGGGTCTATTCACATGGGAGGTGGGGGAGGCAAGGGGCTATGGCTGCATAAACAAATTAATGTAACTCCTAAATGGCATAGAATTGAGCAGTGAGATTGCAGGAACATGAACTATACACCAAAACTGCTTCATTAAGCTAAAATTGTTTTGGTGACTATAGGGTCACTTTAAGGTTGCTCTATAAGGACATTTGGATTTAGAATTGTGTTGAAATAATAAGGAACAACTGCCTGTTAGTAAAATAATTAACTATTAAATCTATGATGTTTTTTTCACATAAAATAGGTTCAACCAAACTTGATAGAAACATTACAAAGATACAGGGCTGACCTGGAACTCGTATTTAATATAATTGACAAAGATCACTCAGGTAATTTGGTTATTTGATGTTACAGTTTTACAGCTATAATATGTTGCTTTGCAAATTGAATTAACTATATGTTCTTGCTATCTGAATCATGTTTTTTTTTTTTTTTTTTCTCGATGAGAATTAAAATAAAACATAACACGTAATTCTAAAAAATAGACAACAATACTACATATATTTACATATGCTTATTCACCAAGAGTGCACTTGAAATGACAAACATATATATATTATAGCAAAATGACTTTTAATTCCCTCTTTTGATCCCTTTGTTCCATCGTTACGTTCAGTGGGTAGTCGTTAAATATAAGTGTCTTCATACTTTGAGTCTTCAAAATTGAGTGGTAACTATAATAATAATGGTTCATGGTACCATGTCCTCTGGTTCAAATGTTGTACTCCCTATGATGATAGGTTAAGGATCCCAAACTCTTCTTACTAATATACTATCACCACTACAGGGACTAAAACCAATGGTTAACTAAACTAGACCCTTTGTTTTGTGTACCTGGTGATTTGTAAGTTAAAGTAAACTCTTTTCTGGATCCCTGTAATATATTTTCCGATTTCATAGATTTGTGTTCTCACTGCTTTTTCCAAGGAAAATAAGTATCTAAAATAATCACATTTGTCTAATGATTTCATCTAATGCCCATGAGTTCTCTTTATCTATCCATTGAAGTAGGATTCCAAAAAAAGCAATTGTTAAAGGACCCAGACCACTTCATCTCAATGCTGCGGTCCTTACATTTTAACCAGTCACCCAGACCACTTCATCTCAATGCAGTGGTCCTTTCATTTTAATCATCCAATGTAAAACATTGCTGTTTTATAGAAACTGCAGTGTTTACTTTAATCCCTTAAGGACCATACTTCTGGAATAAAAGGGAATCATGACATGTCACACATGTCATGTGTCCTTAAGGGGTTAAAAGCTTAAATACACCTCTTGTGGCTCTCTTTCTGACAGCCTTTAGAGGTGCTTCCACCTCCAAAACCAGCGGCATACATATCGCGGTCGCAGGGGTCGCAGCTGCGACCGGGCCCGGCACTTCAGGGGGCCCGGCCACCCTGTGGACCCCTGTGACCGGGTACCATGCCTGCTGCCACATTTTGCGGCTCCAGCACGCGCAGCAAACCACCGTGGCCGCATGTGGAGGGGTCCATCAGGTGGCCCATGCTGTCAGGGCCACCCGATGGATATGGATTGTGAGGGGGCCCGGTTGGCGCTGGGCACTTTAAGAGCGCGACCGGGCCCCCTGTAATGACATCACAAAGCTGGGAGGAAGTGATTCCCCGGTCACTCCTCCCAGCATAATGAGAGCCCGCCTGGGAGGAAGCAGGAAGGAGGAGGAGGAGGGAGTCTGAGTGTATATATGTGGGAACTCTGACTCCCATCAGGCTGAGCCACCACTGGACCCCAGGGAAAGTAACAAGGTAGGAAACATTTTGTGTATGTGTGTGTGTTTCTCTGTATGTATATGTGTGTGTGTGTCTGTGTGTGTGTGTGTGTCTCTGTATGTGTGTGTCTCTGTATGTGTGTGTGTGTCTGTGTCTCTATATGTGTGTGTGTGTCTGTGTCTCTGTATGTGTGTGTCTGTGTGCGTGTGTGTCTCTGTATGTGTTTGTGTCTGTGTCTCTGTATGTATGTGTCTCTGTATGTGTGTGTGTCTGTGTCTCTGTATGTGTGTGTGTCTGTATGTGTGTGTGTCTGTGTCTGTGTGTGTGTCTGTGTCTGTATGTGTGTGTGTCTGTGTCTCTCTGTATGTACATGTGTGACTCTGTATGTGTGTGTGTCTATGTATGCAGTGGCCTACACACAATCCATGGGGCCCCGTATGTATGTGTCTGTGTCTATGTATGTGTGTGTATCTATGTATGTGTGTGTGTCTATGTATGTGTGTGTGTCTGTGTGTGTGTGTGTGTGTATCTCTGTGTGTGTGTCTGTGTCTATGTGTGTGTGTGTGTGCCTGTGTCTCTGTATGTATGTGTCTGTCTGTATATATGTGTGTGTGTCTGTATGTATGTGTCTGTCAAGGGATGGATGTGTGTGTGTGTGTATCTGTCTGTGTGTATGTTTGTGTGTGTGTCTATATGTATGTATGTGTCAGGGGGGTGGGGGAGGGCACGGATCGGGCGAGAGAGGGGAGCATGGATCGGGGGAGAGAGGGGAGGGGGGGGGGCCCACGGATCAGTTTCGCACCGGGGCCCCATGAATTGTGTGTACGCCACTGTCCAAAACCAAACCAAACTTGGTCTTGCAATAAAATATTTATCTTAAATGAATTTGATTAAAAAAAGGAGCCCAGCATTTGGCCACACATGTGTATCTGTATGTGTTGGAAAGATCAAGATTGCAGAGGACACCAGCAGTTATGCTCCGTGAGACAGTGTGGGAGGTTGCAGCAGAGCAATCTCGGCGCTGGAAACAAGGTAAGTAAAATAGATTAATCTTCAATTTTACATCACTAAAGGGAAGTAGAGAGAAAAATAGAAGGGAACTTATAAAAGAAAAAAAAATCTAAAGTTTCCTTTTAACCCCACATAAATGTTGAAAAAAAGAAGTAAGTCCCTCCAGTGCATTCACTGGTGCAAACAAATGTCTTCCATTATGTCTCTACAACTGATTAACCATTACCTGCATAGCAACTGGCTGGGTTTACCTACAGTCAGTCATTAACAACAACTCGACAAACCTTTATTGTGTTCTCAGCAATTATGACTGTCTTTGGCTTTTCATAAGCTCTTATACTTCATAAGCTCTTATACTTTTTTATTATAAAATATACTTTTATAATATTTAAAGTTTAGCAATGTTATACGTTGCTTCTGTTCATTTCCATACAGAGTGGATATATCCATAATAAACATTCTGCTTTTGTTTTCCTCAGGCCTTATTTCCATTGAGGAGTTTCGTCAAACATGGAAGTTTTTCAGCTCTCACCTCCATATTGACATAGATGATGAAACTATTGATGACTTGGCTCACAGCATTGACTCCAACAAAGATGGCAGTATTGACTTTCATGAATTCTTAGAAGCTTTTCGTGTGGTTAACAAGTTTGATAAGAATGGGACTTGTCTGTGAGACTATGTGTGAGACTTATGGGATAAGTAGTCTTCTTTCATGAACAACATTTAATACATTCTGTATCTTTGCTACCTTATACTTACTGGTGGCAACCGGTGAATCAGCGTGTAAAGTTGGAATAGTTGATTCATATAGTAACAGCTGTTTCAATTCTTTTGAGGTTTTTAAACGAGTGTAAAAATTAAGCAGGACCTTACTCAAAAGAAGAAGAAAAAAGGTTTAGCTGTGATATGCTGCTTTCATTTAATGTGTTCAGCGCAAGAACATGAACTGCACTGTGCAATTGTGGAAAAAGTGGATACGTAATGACCACATATTGTGAACATAAAATTTTACATTTTTTTATCACACATACATTTGTTTTTGTAATCATTTTTATTAATGTTTTGTAATACACCCATTTAAATCTTAAACTGAATTTGCATTGATATAAACATGCTTTTCAAAAAGGTTACATCAATTGTAATAGCTCCCCATGGGGTCTCCTCACTAAAAAGCTAAATTTGGGATGTTTAGAACCAGATTCCATTATGGAGATTGTTTTCAATTCTAGTTGAATCATGCATGTTTTCTCTCCATTCACCTTGACTCACTACACTACGCACTATATTACTCACTATAAAAAAAACTACTTTTCTGATTATATATGGTTTAATACAGTGGAGGGAATTTGAGATATATTCATATCATAATAACAATATCTCTGTATTTTACTTATGTTTACTTCATTTTAATTGGCTTGTATCTGACCTTCAGTCCCTTCAGTAGGTAATCTTTTGTTTAGTTTTACAATTTTGTAACTTATTCGTTAGTGCATAATGTAAGAGGATGGGAATGCAAAGTTGGTGAGATTTTATGTCTTTAAATTTGTACTGTTAATATGAAGATTAAAGATCTATCATTAATGTTTATTCACTAAACAGAGTATTTTTGCCTGATTGCTGTACTGCCTCCATTGCCACTTTTTTAAACTTTGCTGTTAAAATGCTGGTGCAAATACTGATTATGCACAACACCAGGCTGTATTTTGGTGATGAATGTTACCAGATTTGAACCAGCAAAATAATTTTAAATGGACACTCCAGTGCCCAAATCCCAAATCCCCAAAAATATTTAGTAGATATACTCCCAGTGAAAATATGCATATATTTGATTATGCCTTTTTTTATTTGGAGTATATTTAAAAACAGCTTGCAGATGTCGTGTCTGAAGTCTTTGCAAGCCCTGCCCTTCTTCCCTAGCCCAGAGTTTCTGTGGCTCTCCTATCACAGAAATACTAATGTAGCTCTATGAGATGTTTTTGTAAGTCAGATGCTCTGAGCAATTGCTGCCTCTTGAGTTCAGCTCCACTGAGCTAAACAATCAAGTAACAAGACCTGCTGTCTGATAGCCATGGGGGCATGCCTTTCAACTGTCCCACTTTCCAATTACCATCCCGCTTCAGCTCCCTGGAACTGTCCTGTGGCAGCCTAGTACGAGTTCATCATTAGACGCACTTCCGCTGTGCAGTGAACTCTAGAAACATGCAGGGAACACCACTGAACTCCTGATAGATGGGGGCTGGCCAGGCTGCCTGTCAGTGGGTGGACCTGCATCTTTTCTGTATAAGCCCTGACCCTTTTTGGGTGGGCCCACTTCATTGATATCACTAGTTAAATGATTAGTGTCACTAGTGGTTCCCCCCTTATTGGTCATGCCCTCTTTGCAGCAATCAAATGACAGGAGGTATGACAAGAGGGCTCCCACATGGTCATCCACAGAATGATCATCTATACAACACATGCTCCCTAATTTCTAATTTTAATAACAATTTAATAACAATTTGCCACAATTTATATTCACCCCAAAAAAAAAAAAGAGTCCCTCATGAAATATAAGGTAAGTCTGGGGTTCAAATTATAAAAGCCAGCCAAAAAATCCTGTTATGGGATCCGTGTGAAAGTGACAGTGGCTATGTGTACACCTTCCATGTCTATGAGGGAAAAGATAGCCACTGGGATACCCCTAGATATAGTAGGGACTAGTGGGGAGACCTAATCAACTCCTTACTAAACATGGGATATTACTTGTATATTGATAACTGTTATAACAATATCCATCTACTTAAAATACTTCACTGCTTTGAGACAATGGCTTGCGGCACTATCCGCAAGACTCGCACAGGCTTCCCTAAGGCTCTGGCTGAAAGAAAACTTACAAAGGGGGGCACAGCTGCTCTCTACCAAGATGAACTGCTGGCTCTCAAGTATAAAGATAAAAAGGAGGTGTTCATGCTCCACAGTGAATACACTCGCAGGGTCTCAGTTCATGGGAGATGGGAAACAAGACTGGTGCCAGTATAAAAATCAGATGGGGGGAGTTGACCTATCTGATCAACTGCTGTAGCCATACTTAATAATGAGAGACCAGGGCATGGAATAAAAAAAAGTTGGATTTATTGCAGATGGCAACCCACAATGCCTTTATACTCTTTAAAAAGGCAAATGCTGAACTGAAGTGTACATTTCTGACATTTCATTTTCATACTTGAGTATGATGTTAGACCCCAATCTATCTTTTGGCCTCCACATAGAAAAGCTTGCATCTAAACTTTATCCAAAACTAGGTGCCCTGTACAGAAACAAATCCTGCCTAAGCCCTACAGTAAAGGAAAAGATTGTACAGCAAATGCTGATGCCAATCATTGATTATGGGGATGTAGTATATGCATCTGCACCGCAATCCAACATTAATAAACTCAACACATTGTATAACTCGTTCTGCCGATTTGTGCTACAATGTAATTACAGAACTCACCATTGTGACATGCTAAAAGAACTAAACTGGCTGTCACTGGAATCCAGACGCACCCTTCATCTTTCCAGCCTTGTGTTTAAGAGCTTTTCTGGGAAACTCCCACCCGACCTGAACAAAATGCTTCCCCAGCTGTTCCCACTTCCTATAACCTCCGATCCAGTACCAACACTTTACTTAGTCTACCTCAGTACAAAAAGAAAGCAGCCCGATCCTCCTTCTCCTACAGTGCGCCGCAATTGTGGAACAAAGTGACAGGCAGGGCCCATAGCAGAAAGACACGATTTCCTTTGTGTTGCCCATGATACAGATTACTATGTACTTCCTGATGATTGTACGCCAAATTTCCCCCCTTTCATAGCAAATAGTAATTTGTTGTTCATAATTTGGATTGATGAGCTGCTTATATCTAAAAAATAGATGTGGCCTTTGATAGGCAACTTGCATGAGCTGCTAAAATGCTCTAAAATGAGACATGAGACAAGTGTGTGTCTAAAGGGCAAAAAAAATGCTTATAACCTTTAGGCTTGGATACGATCTAGCGAAAAAATGATCTGATACTAAGGTTCGAAATATGCCTTTTGAAATTACCCTGGGGTGTCTTCTTTAAGAAGTGGTAGGCCTTTGTGGGGTAGTTTCAGTTAGCAAGCTGCTAAAATGCTCTAAAATAGAATACGGACCCATCAACACTATCTGTAAAAATTCACACTTAAAAACCTGAAATGGTCATGTCTCTTATACAGCACTGTAACTTCACAAAAAAGTGTATAGGCCATGCATTGGGCGTATTGTTTTACTCAGAAGATGTAACTGAGCATAATTTGTGGAATATTATCACAGTGGCACATAGCAAATGTACAAAATACACAGCGCAAATGCAACATTTATGGAAAAAAATAAAACATTTTACCACAAACTTTGACATGATTTGGTGAAATAATGGTGACAAATGAAGGCACAAAAAATGCCATATGTACCCTGTATTGTCTCATTTCACAAATAACAGGCCTTTGAGGTGTTATTTGAACAGTCGCTACTATAATGCCTAAATATGAAACAAAGGCTCATCAAATTTTTCTATCAAATCTCTAATCGTGGAAACTGAAATAGCCTGGTCTCCTACATGCCATTGAAACATCACAGGATAGTGGTAAAGACATACAATTGGAGCATCATTGTACTCAGGAGACATAGCTAAAAGCAATGTAGTGTTTTGTACAGGAATGGAAGACACAAGCTTTACAATATACACATGAAAATAAACCTTGTTATATCTGTGTATGTAAACAAAAAGCAGAAAAGAAAACACAATTGACTACAATACTTTGAAGAGATTGGCGATAAAATGGCCAAAATATAAAAAGTGTCAAAATACCCCTAGGTAAATAGCCCATGGTATCTACTTTATATAAATATATACTTTTGTGTGGCAATTTTGTTTTCTGTGATGGCTATTAAACATACCAACTTCTAAAATTATTTTACATTGAAATTTCATTTTACTCCTTGTATTCTGTGTCCTGTAACTATAAAAATAAACTGGAATCCTATACCTATGTATTCTGTAGATTTTAAATTACTTTTCTTAAGCTGGACATATTATGCCCACATTATTATTGCCAAAACTGTGAGAAAAAATGAGGTGGATGGGTGTTTGCATTTTTTGCATTTTTTTTTTTTATAAAAAAGGATCATTTGTACATGTACATGTCACATCAAATTAAAACTCCTTTTTCCATTTAAAAATGGTATATGCTATGATTTGGTGCAATAACTAAGAGAAATGCAAATTGCAGTTAAACAGCAACGGCACAAAATGTAAAAAAAATTCTGGTGCTCTTAAGTGCAAGACAGGCTTCTGTAGCTGTGTCCTTAAGGGCTTAATTACATTTCTACTAATCCAACATTTAAAAACATTCACTTATTTGAATAAATAAACCAAAAACAAACACACTTTTATAGATATAACAAATATCTTGATTTTAATCAAATGCTATATATAGAAACGTGCAGTCCAAGAAAAACATTTATTGTGTGTGTTTTTTTGTTGCCGATTTTCTGTGGAAGGATTGCCTTCAGGTCATCCTGTGTTTATTGCTTTACCATCACAAAACCAACAGTGAAGGAGGTGATGGATTTTCTCAGTAAGGTAAAGCATTTGTGCAAATGCCACACCTTCTGTATTTAGATATGTTGGAATTCCA